TGATAAAGTAATTATGATCTAAAGGGTGTCAAAATTTACAAAAAAAAAAGAGCTTAATATTTATTTGTTTACCTTATTAAACATTTCTTTCAATGTGAATTGTTTAAGCTGCTTCGCTTTTTGTGCTAATGCTTTCTCTTTAATTCTATAGACAGTCATAATTTCTTGTTCAATTATACACACATAATCTCTTGTTCAGTTACATTGTTGAAATCCTGTATCCTGCAACTGTCGTTTCGAAAATTCTGACTAACTTGTCAATCGAAATTTTTTCCTTATCAATAACTTCTCAGTCACTTTCTTCACTATTAGTAGCAGTATCTTCTGGATCTAGAACCACACTACAGATTTCAACATTGATTAATTGATTGCTGATTGAGAAGCATTGTCATCACAAAGAAAAACTTCTTTTATATCATCTTCATTTATTACCGCTTCTCCACATTTCTTTGCAAAAACCGTTAATTGAAAAATTTCACCTTTCTTTTGTGATATCCAAAAACCTTTAAAATTAGCAGGTATCATTATCAAATTTAGCTATCCTTCACGATACATATTTCGCTATGCATCATTAGCTTGGCGAATGGAATATTCTCAAACTGTATAATTTTCCTTAAAAACGCATCATTCCAAATTTACCATTTAAATCAGTCACGACATTTAACATTTAACAAGACGACATTTAACAAGTTAACGACAATTGACATTTAACAAGTTGCTCCGTTAAACTTTATCTTGCTTCTATCGCACACCGAGACAATTAAGCCTCAATTGTATTAGTCTAGTTATTTATTATACTTATGTCTATTTCTTGCACATGCTTACGGCTTATCAGAGTTCTGAATAAATAAATTCCCACATATACTTAAGCATTTTTTAGGGTTGGCGCTAGATATCTTACCGCATGATGCAGTCTTTGCGAGTCCTAACTTCTGCGACTTGGTGCAGCCATATGTGCCCTGGCGCTGCTTCTGGGTTTATGTGAATAACAAATCAGTTATTCTTAATTCAAATAGCCCTAAATGTAATCTTTGAGTCTATGAGTATCATCAACAAAATCTATTTTTAGTATATGGAAAGAAATTTTTGTTAAATTTTTCCTCGTCAACATTTTTAGCGCATTTAACTTAAATCTGTAATCATCTCCAAGCATAATGTAAACATAAAAGGTTACCAAAAAGGTTACCATACTCGTTTATTATTCAATTACCAATATAAAAAACTGTTTAGGCATCACTACATGACTCATTACTTAAGTTGTCATTAAAAAGACAGTGCTACATATGCAGGATAAAAGAAATGTTAATTCAGAATGTAGAAGAAGCACATAAATATTTCTATGTATATATTTGTATTTCAGAAACAGATGGCATTTTTCACTTATTGCACTTGTATAGTGTAAGTTTTCATTTCCTGACTTTTAGGAAGGTAATCAGTTTTATTTATTTACATCAGTGGCCATCAAAACTGCAATACTATGAATGAAACAGCAAATTAATGTGAAATATGCATAACAGATACAGCCTGGTAAGTAATGAAAATGATTAGCAAAGCATCATATATGCAAATAATGAATGCCTGTAAACACCACCTGGATAAGTGTAAAGGAGATGATTTCAGCCTTCAGTAGTTGGTAGATTAAGCAATTCTTTCTTCTCAAATATATGCAATATCTGTCAGTCATTTGTAATGCGAGCAGTGTTTGCCAAACTGTGGTGTGTAACTGAAATGTGAGCCAAGTTCATTGGATGACCATCAAAAGGTTAAAGGACCAGTTATCCATACGGAAAACAAATTTCTTTCCTTTCTTCTCTGACTTGAGGTGAAGAGTAAGCCTTGATTAAGAAGTTCCTAGCACATCACAAGGGTTTAAACTTGCATATCACCATGGGAAGAAATAGTGCCAAAATAAAGTATTCTGTTTCTTCTAATGACCCAAATATGCCATGTAATACTAGCACACATTTTGCACATAATATACATCCTCCAGCATGAACTGTAAAAGTATGAGTAAACTAATGAAATTCAGGAGAAAAAAATGTTTATAACAACTGAATGTAATTCAGAAGTATGAAACTCATATATGATTACGTTTGTGGAATATCCCAGTAAACATACAGCTACTTCATAATTATTTCATATTTTTGTTCTAATAAATGTGGAAATCATGTAAGAGTATTTTGAAAGAGTGAAAAATGCAAAACTCGTCTTATTTTACTGTTTTTAATAGTGTTTCTACTGTGACTTAGCAGTCAAACCCTTTTTCCCCCCAATGTAGTTTTTTTTTTTACGTGAATGGATCCATAATTTATATATATCTATTGAAGAACTCCGCATTAAAATACAAAGTGAGACAAATAATTGTGACCTTTTCCACACCTAATATTGCTTTAATCATGATTCATTCATTGATATGGATGAAGATAAATACAAAATTTCAAGTGTTAAAGAAATAGTAAAAAATAAAAAAGGTCAATTAGTGTAGTTTATGTGTTAATCTAATATAAATATTAGTATAATATGCTACATTAGAAATATCTTTTAATAATGAGAGAATTACATATTCACAAAATCATCAGTAGTATATACTAGAAATTGAAACAATTCTCCAATATACTCCAATTAAACATATTAAATAGTAAGAGAAAGATTTTAATTATCAGATGTACTTTATTACTTTTAAACTGCTCAGTTTGTTATGAAAATTTAAAACACAGCTAACCACATATTCAAAATCATCAGGTTGTTCAATTAAAGCTGCAATCTGTAGTTAAACTGCAGCTTGGATATAATGAGAAAACAAACTGCTGACGATGTTACGTTATGATTTTCAGATGGTCTTGCTCTGCAAGGATATTCAGCTCAACATGAAAGAACAGTGACACTACAAGAATGCCTAGATGTTGTTTTATCCATGTCACTTAGATGTGCTGTAAATATAACAGTCCATAAAAATACTACAACTGTTTCCAATTGCCTGATTGCTTTTATCACCAGAAATCCTTAATTTGCCTTTGTCAAGTATTTATTTAATGTTATATATAGATAGATGTTAGATATATGTTGACTGCGACGGCACTTTTTGGATTCCAGTCCAAGAAGACAAATCGATTTAATCATATTATATTATTAAAAATACTAATTATGATTCGTAATAATCTTTAAAAGTTTACAGGATTTTCTTAAAGAAAAAAGGGTCCTACAAATTATCTCGTAGTCGGCTTTTGTTAGACAAAGCTCTTCACAGAGTTTATTCATACAGACATGCTTTGACTTGTCGTCTCGGTACAGCTAAAACAAGCACTAAGCAAGTAACTCATAGCGTCGCGAAAGTGACAAGTCCAGAAACTACGAGATAACTCGTATTGGGCGTCCTGAAGAAGAGTGCTAATACGAGTTACCTTATGTTGGGCAGTCAACGTGTTAAATGCATAACTAAAAAAACATATTTTATATTTAAATATAAATCATATTATATTTACCAGTTTTATATTTGAATATAAATCATATTTAAATATAAAACTGGTAAATATGTCGCAAAATGGAAGTGATACATATCTTAAAATTTCAAGGAATTTAATCAGTATTCACAGTTTAGATCATCCATGCATACATACAACAGCTTATTACATTTGTCAAAAAAATCACAAACATGAAGCACTATTTACAGTTCAAGTCAAAAAGAAAGGTGAAGATTTCTTTTTTGCAACATAGCCCTTTATATTTTATACAGTACAAAGTCTTTAATTCGGACGTCCATATTCCGGAATGATCTATAATACGGACCTCAAAGCTTCAAACTTTCTGTGCATGCGCATAATACGTTTATGCATGCACATTTAATGTATAACGGACGCCATAAGCTAGGCTAAAATTATCTAATTAGCTATTTCAGTTAATGTTGCAGATTGCATTGTTCCTTAATCTTCTAATTGGATACAGTTTATATTTTTTGCAGACTCAGAGCAATTTTATAAAAAGTAAGCTTCAACTTTCTATTATGTCAAAAAGAGTTTCCGATTCTGGAGCTGCCAAAGGATCTACTCAAAGCGAAAGCATGTTTCAACGTACCACTTCCGATAGTGAAGAAAGTGACAGAGAGGTTATTGAAAATGAAAAAATTTTGTATGACAAGTTAGTCCATATTCTCGACACAGCAATTACAGGACTTGAACAGTGGAACTGAACAAGAAATTATGTCTTTTTATAGAATTAAAGAGAAAGTATTAGTACAAAAAACGAAGCAACTTTAATTGAAAGAAATGTTTAATAAAGTAAACAAATAAATATTAAGCATTTTTTTGTACATTTTGATACCCTTAAGATCATAATTGCTTTTTATTTCATAAATTACAGTTCCATATTTTTAATTTTATAATTTCTGCATGCCATCTTACCTGATTTAAATTAATGATCTATAATCCAGAAAAAACCCTAATCCAGAATCGCCAAAGTCCCGACGAGTCCTGATTAAAGACTTTGTACTGTATACTATTTCCAAATGTGATCTAGTTTCCCAAACATCAGTTAAAGGCCATTGTCTGAAAGTCATATCACATACTCGATTTGGAAGCTTTCATTTCCTTGTTCATGTTGCATTGCCATCATCTTGCTTATTACAAAATCGAAATAACACAGGATGTTATTAGAGGCTCCTCACAGATTTTCTGACAAGTCACCATGGCCTTTTATGGCATGTGCAGCACTGTGTTATCCTGAAGCACAAACTTTTGCTCATTAACCACTGTTAGACACTTTGATTTTCACCATAAACAAAACAAATTTGTTTTATTCACACTAACGAAACATCACACTGACTATCTTCAAAGTTACAGCTGCAGAACTTGTGAAATAATGCCAGCTTATAAACTCTCAAAACAACTCTTGATACATACATAGCATATTAAAGGAAATGTAACCATATAAATCCATGTAAAAAGATCTTAATGTTATAAATGAAAAACTAACTACATAAATAAAACACATGCAAAAAAACATACTTCACTTTCATCTGTTTCAGATGCAAATTTGGAACGAGAATGTATTAATGAATCTTCTGTCATGTGCAAATTTTCAGGACTTGCATCCATTAAAAGACTACTTTTCCCACAGACTACATTGTTTTGGAAATGCGAACCAACTGAAAAGAGTAAAAAAATAAAATTAGTTAATCTGTAAAGATATGCACATAACAGTAATATAAAGTCAAAAAAGAAATTCAAAAAGTTTCATTTGCAGCATGGGGCATAATACAATAAATTATTTCTAGAAGAAGGTAACATACTGAGTAGCATGCTAATCAGTTTGACTTCTGAATTGCCAAGAATAAGCTATGTATTGCGCATTATAACACTCATTTAAGAACAACTGCAGTAGAAATAAAAACAAATCAAGTAAAACTAATTCATATTATTCATAACATGCAACCATTCAGAAATACTATATATTGATCAAACATGAAAATATGGAAATACTGCAAAATTATTGTAAGTATTGATCATACATGAAAAAGGGAAGGTGGCTGTAATATGCATGAGGATAACAATTTTTTTTTTTAAATTTTCTTCTGCATTTAAAATTTTATTTAGTTGTTACTAATTCTTTACTTTAATATAAATATTTAGTAACAGCTTTGTATCATTACAGTTTATGGTGTATTTTAAAACTGGTTATGTATTATGTTTTGACTCTCCCACTCTTTCTTCTAAATTTATAAATATGGAGCTTAATACAAAATTTCTGCAGCATCTATTAAAAACATGTATTCTGAGCATATAAGCACATTTTCAAATCTAACTTCAATTCCAAATTTCACAAGTTCACTTTAAAGATAATTTTATATCTAATTCACAACTTTTTACGATTCTAAAGTAACTTCATTATTAAAAAGCTATAAAAATATTAATTCCTCATAAAAAGCCTTATTTAATCAATAAAAATTAAAATTGGTCTTTCAGGTTACCATAGCTTTGCCTGAAGTTCAAACTCTGCCTATAAAAGAATGATTATCGTTTGTTTTGAAGTTTTTGATAATAAGAGTTCTATGATGCGATTTTCAATTTCTTTTATGATTGACTAAAGAATCTGTTTGCAAACAAATTAATCATGCATGCTATAATTATTACACTTCACAATGAAGTATTTTCTTACTGCCAAACTGCTGTGAAATCTTGTTGTCATTATCTGACAGCTGGTAAATTCATCAACAATCCCAACTGAACTAGAAATTTCAAAGGTCTGCAGAGAAAAGGTGGGTCAAAGAAAATTAACATACAAAATAACAAACATCTTATACATTTGTCTTCAAAAGATTGTTTAGACAGGTACAAAATACCGCGGCTTCAGTTGCTGATAAATCATACACAATTAATGTTTCTGGGTGCATTGTAAATCAAAAGTGGGATAAAAATGGCTTAAGAGCCTATAACCCTATAAAGAAACCTTTTATTAATGAACAGCATACAATGGCCACATGATCTTGCTGCGGATTCATGGTGTAAAATTATTTCAAATGATGAAACAATACTTTGACACCTAATAAAACAGCTACATTTTCAGAATGCTATCACAATTAAAGATTTAATATGATTTGAGGAAAGAAAATATTACCTTTTATCAATAGACAGCACATGATTTCTGTTAAAATTCTGGGTTTGTTAGATTCAGCTTGGTTATTGCTTAAGGCCAACAAGAAATGCTTCACCGGGGAAAGCATTGAATCTAATGATTGGGGAACCATTGCAATGTCATAGTAGAAGGGCAGAAATAATGTTAGGCCTTAGGCTATGGACACCAAATGAAGTGCAGAATAAAAAAAATTTCTCTAGAATTTTAGGCTCTTTTTTTAGACAAAAATACATTCTATGATTGATAGTACAAAATATTCATATGTATTTGTGCCATATAAAAGCACAGTAATCAATTAATATTTAATGTTTGTTCTGAAATTATGCTCACATCCTGCTGTATATTTTGTAAATTTCAAATAGAATATTTAACCACTTAAAAACTTTTTAGCGTGCCCACGCATGTCGAGATGCTTTTGTCTCAAACCACGAGCGACGTGAACACCACGTCGATAAGCATTTATTGCAAAAATGAAAATAACATGGTGCTCACATCACCTAATGAGATTGTTTATTTCTCAAGTTACAGCTCTGGATTGCACTTGCAGACGCGAAGCAGCGTAAATGAGACACTTTACCGCTCGTTATATTGTAGCGCACGGCACTGCAACCATGAAGTTAAATCATAGTGCAAGTGGTTAAAAGTGCTCATTTACATTCCTGGTCATTGTTGAACATTTACATGACCATCTCCATAAGACACGAAATATTTTGAAAATGTGCGCCATTGTTTTAGAAAGAATCTGTTCTATTCTGTACATTTCTTTAATTTAAATGATAAATCAGACTGAAGCTATACTATCATCATCAGAATAAAATGAAAAAGTGTAAACATATACCTTCTATGCATGCAATCACAAAAGGTATATTCAATTTTAAAAAATGAGGACAAAATTAAGTGCATGCAATGAAAAATGTTCTTTAAATGAATTAGAAAAAACACAAAATAAATTGAAGCAAAATGGCTGAATAAAAAGATAAATATGCATATTATCGGAAGAATAAATACACCGCAAATTTAAATTTAATTTAAAGTTTTGATATTTCATTTTGAGACTTTATTAACACCTGGAAGCAGGTTTTACTACTTTCTCTAGGAATAGAAATGCAAAATTCAACTGTTTCCAAACCAAGAAATGTTGCCAACCCAGGTGCTAGCTTTACTACCTAACTTTCTATTAAGTAGCATGTAACATAAGGTAAGTTATGTGCAAGGGCAGCAAACCATACAATCTGTTAATAGACACTTCTCAATAAAAAAAACTGTTGTTTTTAAATTTAATATTGCAAAGCAAGCAAGACCACCAGCGGTCAATGAGGTATTAATCTTGAGCCCTGATATCTGGCCAGGCTTAATTTCTAAAATTAGAAGTGACTTAGCCCTAGGGTAGGTGAAGAACAGTAAATAAATATTTAATATCAATCATGATATATACACAATAATGAACACTTAAATTTTAACAGGTAAGTCATATTATTACAGTATACTCTCTATTTGGTTTCAGATTATCCGTGCATGGCGGTGCCCACACTCAACGCTGTATATAAAAGTGCGCAAAAAAAAACAAGCATGTTCAAATTTGAGGATGCCCTGAATTGTGTGTTTAGATTATTATGAATTACCTTTCTTACTTTTTAAAAAATAGATTTAGAACTAAAAAATAAATTTTAGAACTAAAAAATAAATACAGAACATGCAACAAATACTACGAAAGAAAGTTGTTTTAGCATTAAAACAAAAATTTGCATCAATCGAAAGATTTGATCATGGCGAAGTGACAATATCATTCACCAAAGAATATGAAATCTATTGGACTTCGTTCAGCAAAGAAGATTCAAATGGAATGATAAAATAGCATTTAAAAAAATATGCAGTGAAATTAGACAAATATTTAAGCATTCTCAAAAAAAAAAAAAAAAAAAAAAAAAAAAAAAAAAAAAAAAAACACTAAGTGAAATTACTAATTTAAAAAAAAACACACACACATAAATGCATGAAAACTGAGTTCAGATAATTCGCAATTTCCAATTGTATGCAGCTTGTTTCCCCAGCCTGGATTTAAATTGATGATCTATAATCCGGAAAAAACCGTAATCCAGAATCGCCGAAGTCCCAAAGAGTCTGGATTACAGACTTTGTACTGTATATATTTATACCACGAAAAAACTCCATCTTTTGCAATTTTAATGAGCTACTTTCTGCAAACAGTAACTGACTCCGTCCAACATCATTCTGATGAGACTCAACAATCTTTGCAAAACTGGTTATATCCAGGTTACTGATGGCAGTAATTCATAACAATGAAATTGCCACAATATTTTCTGGTACAGGGATGTGTGGTATGTAGGTACTGAATTCGACAATATCATGCTTATGTCTTATCTGCCTCGGGGATGCAGATTTGAATCTTTCTAATTAAAAATATTAGTGGGCGATGATCTGTGTATATTGCAAAATGTGTTTAAAATGCTTTGCAGTGCAATAGATAGTATTCTCTACCATATGTTCTGTATTTAGTTTCAGTTAGAGTTAGTTTTTTGAGGAAAAAAGCTAAGTTTTTTGAGGAAAAAAGCTAGTGATTGAACATGTTTATCATTTTACGAATGCAAAACAGCTCCAATAGCTGCATCCGAGGTGCCAACCATTAATGACAACCGTTGACCAGGGGCATGGTAACCAAGTGTCACTGTATTAGCTAGATCAATTTTACACTTTTCAAAGGTAGTAGTTGTTTCTTAGAATAGGACATTTATCGTTTTTCTTAGAATCTTTCAAAATAGAATGAAGCTGTGCTTGGGTAGCAATGGCCTTAGGCAAAAATTGTTGATAAAAATTCAACACTGCCAAAAATCTCTTTAGTTTAGACATTGTTAGAGGTTTAGGGAAGTTAAAAATTATTGCAATTTTTCAGAAAGGGGTCGAATGGCAGAAGGGGTAATTAAACAACCAAGAAATGATAACGATGACTTTCCAAGAACACATTTAGCAAGATTTAGTTTTAACCTACATTTCTTCATTCTATCAATTCATCTGCTGAAGCCATAAGTAAATCATTGAAGAAGGGAACATAAAAATCTAAACCAGAAAGAACTTGATTAATAAACCTTTGGAATGTTTGACTTGTATAATGTAAACCAAATGACATTTTACGAAACTCAAATAATCCGAACAGAGTGTTAACAGCTGTTTTATGCACGTCCTCTGGGCTAACAGGAATCTGATTGATATACTCTAGCCAAATCAAGTGTTGCGAAAATATTTTTCCAAAATATATCTGAGTACAATCTTGAACACGCAACACAGGATACTCGTGAGAAATATTCACAGCATTCAGGTGACAATATAAGGTATTTCTCCCGCCTTCTTAGCATGCCTTTGTGGTGTAATAGTACTGCACGCTGGGCCGGTATTCCAGAGGTCGGAAGTTCAGTTCCCGGTGAAGGTGGTTGCTCATTTTTCATCTTGCCTGCTTTTAAAAAATACCTAATGTCTCTACAGTGGTGCCTGAACTAA